GTAGAAAAACTTTCTGCCAAGGCATAACACACATCTACTGGAGTCCGGTAGCCAGTTCAGTCCTTCTTCCCAGTAGAAACTTCCTGAGCCTGGTCCTTTACCAGTAGTGTTTCAATCAGCATTCTGGTCCTAGAAATTCACATGAAGTACAACTTAGCATTCTAAGACTGCATTTTCATCTACCATCTCCAGACTTCACCAAACTCTTTACACAAGCCAGTTCCAAAGGCTCCTGAATGATATGGTCAGGTATAGTTGCAGCAATGACCCTACTTCTCTGGTACCAAATTCTGTATTATTATTCTTGATGCTGAGACAAAGTACCCAACATCCAAATTTAAAGGAAGAAAGGTTTTTTGGCTTACAGTTTGTAAAGGTTTCAATTCATAGTTGTCTGTCTCCAATGTAGGGTGGAATGGCAGGTAGAGCAATATCATAGAAGGAAGAGTTCAGAAGAAAGATGTAAGCAAAACAGAGGCTACAAGCATCTCAAGACAATTGTAGCTCTTTTTCTGTCTCTTATATTTTTACCTGGACTACCCACCCTAAGGGGAGGTAGCAAGGTGGGGCACCCTTAATTTTACCCAGACTGTTCAATAATCACATACCCTTAATCCCAGCAACATATGCTCTAGATCCATTCACCTCCATAAAAGCCCCGTCTATGACTGCAAGTAGCTTTGGGGCAGACATCTAGACATAAGCCATAGCAGAATCTTTGTTTAATTTCTGTGAGTGCAAATATTCCACAAATTGTTATTGATTTCTAGTTTTATGCCACTGTGATCAGAAAGTATACTGGATTTAATTTTAATAAAATTGTTGATTTCTAACTTTACAGCATTTTAGTTAGAAAATATAATGGGAATAACATTAATCTTCCTACATTTGTTAACACTTATTTTTGTATTCTAAAATATTATGTATCCTATGAATATTCCACGTGTACTTGAGAAGAAACTACACTGTGCCTCTGTTGAGTGGAGTGTTCTGTGTATGTTCAGGTTCATTTTGTCTAAGTGTAGTTCAGGTTCAGTGTGGTTACTGATTTTCTGTTTGGATAATCTGACCTTTGTTCAAAGTAAAGTATTGAAGTCCCATACCATTGTACACTGCTTTTTCCTCACGCTAATTACTTTTGTGATGTGCTGTGTATATTTATGTTTTGTATCCTCTTGATGAATTGATCCCTTTATGATAATTTATAATTTTTTTGTCTTTTTAAATATTTTTACTTAGCAGTGTTACTACCTTTTGTATGTATTGCTACCCCTGTTCTTTTTTAGTGTCCATTTCACAAAATATGTCTTTTTTTCATTTTTTTAATTGTGGCTTGTTTGTTTACTTAACAATGTTTTTGTTGCTCCTGGGAACCAGTCCCTTGGCCTCACTGCATTCAAGGCCACCACTCTACAGTGGAGGTATATGCCACCCTTCGCTTCTTCATTTTGAGTCCGTGTGTGTTTTCAGAGGTGCAGTGAATCTTATAGACACTGTAAGATTTGATATTTTCTTTAAAAAATGTGTTCAACCATTTAATGTCTTTTAATTAGAGAATTTAATGCTTTTGTATTTGAGGTGCTTATTATTAGGACTCTCTACTGCCATTTTGTTCATTATTCTTTGGGTGTCTTGTAGATCTTTTGTTCTTTGCTTTTTCTTTTGATATATTCATCTGTGGTTAGCTATTTTACTGTAGTTATATGCTTTAATTTCTTACTGTTTATGTTTTGTGAATGTACTATAGATTTTTGCTTTGTAATTGCTCTGATACTTAGATAAAAAAGTCTTCTAGGTATCATAGTCAGTTTTAAACTGTGTAAATGTTAACTTTCATTGCAAAGAAAAACTCTATACTTTTATTTCGACATCCCTTACATTTTGTGGGTTTTTTTTAAATGAATTTTATTAGTACATTTTAGGTATAAATTATGATGACATTCAACATTGGAAATTTGTGCATTGACATAATCTGTCTTGGTTCTTATTTTTTCAACATTCCCCTTGCCCTCCCTTCAACCCCTCCACCCCTCCCTTATTTACAAAGACTTTGTTTCCATATTTTCATTTTCTCACGTTAATTCCATTCCCTTTGTTCCTTTCTGCTACCCCTCCAACTTTCTCTTTGCCCCTTTTCTTCCTATTTCACATTATACATTTTATGCTTTTGATGGTATGAATCTCTTATATTTGAATATTGTATCTCTTCCAAGATTTGAAATTTTTTGCTAGTTTTTCTTTAAATAAACTTTCTATCCCTTTCTTTCCTCCTACATCTTCTGTTCTATTTATATTAGGTTTTTGATTCTGACGTTCGAATATCAGGCTTTCTTTATTCCTTTTCATCTTTTTTCTCATTGTACATTTTCAAATAAACTGTCTTGAAGTTGGCAAAGTCTTCTTTTTTTTTTTTTTTTTGATACCAGGGATTAAACTCGGGTCCTTGCTCTTGCAAGGCAGGACACCGAACCACTGAGCTAAATTCCTGGCCCAAGTCTTCTTTAATTTTGAACATTTTTTTTGCTGTATATTCTTCGTTGCATTTTCTTTCGGACTGTATGCTGGGTTTTCTGTGGGAAGAGTGGAAGTGTGCTGGCTCAGTCAGGTGGAGCAATTCTGGCTTTTCTAAGGACATAGCCAAGCAGTCCCTGTGTAACTTTGTCAGTTGAGATTGATGTAGGTGAGCTCTGCAGGTATCCTCAGCTGCCAGTTCTGTATGTATTTTAGCAGCAGTGAAGGTTATTGAGGGGGTCTCTGGTGGCAGTGGTGGCTATTTTTTTTTTTCAAATCTCTTTTTGCTTCCCTACTAGAGAAATCATGCCTGAGAGGATCCTTGACTTATGGGCCCACACTCAGAGGCATGGTGATTGATGAGTCATGCCTGTTCAGTGGCCATGAGGCTAGGTCTGAATCATAGGTATACAGGAATTATGTCTCTTGGGTCCAGAGCAGCAATGCACAGGTATTCTGGGCATTGGTAACCCCATTTTCTCCTGGTAATGGTATGTGAGGTTTGGCTGCTTGTGCAGATGCTGGGAAGTCAGGAATGAGACTGTGATGTTTGCAGAGTTGCTTAGACTCTGTGTACAGGATGGAGCCTTGCTCTTTATGGCTGCTGGAGTGGTGGCTGTGAAGTACACACTCAAGGAGGGCCCTTGGCTCCAAGCATCTGGGGCTTCTAGAATGTGCCCACTCACTAGGTGGCGTGGCTCAAGTCAGGAGCACATGAGGGTGTGGGAGAGGTGGCACCTTTGTCTGGGGGTGGCACACATGGGGTTACTCTCTAGTGAGGAGTATACACCTGGTTGCCCTTTCTGGGGTTCCCTGGCAGGAGTTGCTGCTGGCTACTTCAATGGCAGGAGATGTTGGTGTCCTTAGTGGAGCAGGCCACTTGGTTTGGGTAGCTTAGAATGCCTGACTGACACAACCTCTCATTTTTTTCTTTTTTCCCAAGCATGTGTACACATCTCAGGTATGTTGATATCACTTATAGTCCTTTCTGCGTTGCTCTTGATTCTTAAATGTGCCTTTGACATATTATATTGTGATTTTCACTTGTGGAGAACTTTCTATCATTCCTTTTTTCTTTTTCTTTTATTTTCAGAAGGATGAAACCTGGTATCAACACTTTGGTTATATCCTTTATCCTCTGTGATATAGCTTCATTTTATTTCCCATATTGCCTGTGAAACTGATAGTTGGATCTAGAGCTAGTAGGGACAGAATTATTTTGACCAGAGATATTCATTGGTAGTTAATATGTACTTCCATTAGTCTGTTTCTCTCTTTTTGTGTGTGTGATGCCATTGATATTCTGTGCTGAGATCCACTTGTTTCATAGTGACTAGAAAATAGTGATATCCTATTTCTTTCAACCTTTCTTCCATTTTTAGCTGGAATATTCCCATACAGAGCTTAAGTTCACAGTGGTGTGGTTTGAGCGGGATTGTTGGAACAAAATGCTTAGCGCTTTCTCTTCATGATTTTAAAAATCCAGACTGTTCTGACTTAAGATGGTTTGACTTATGATATTTTTAGCTTTATGATGGTATGAAAGTGATATGCATTCAATAAAAACTAATCTTCAAGTTTTGAATTTTGATCTTTTCTGGGACTAGTGATTTCTCAGATGACACTCTCTTGTCATGCTGGGCTGCAGTGAGCTACAGCTCCTACTCACCCTCATAGCCACAAGGGTAAACAGTCTATATGCAGTGAGCTGCTGGGTTAACCAGCGTTCTTTGGATACAGACATTCAGCAAATTACATGAGATAGTCAATATCTTGTTATAAAGTAGGATTTTTATTAGCTGATTTTACCCAATTATTGGCTAATGTCAATACTCTGAGCCCATTTCAAGTAGATGAGCCTAAGTCATGATGTCTGGAAGCCTAGGTATATTAAATGTACCTTTAAATTACAGTATTTTCAATTTATGATTGATTTATTGGGACATAATCCAATTATAATTCAAATAATGTATGTATTTAAAATAAATAGCACTGTTACATGATAATCCTCTGATAGTGACCATATATGTTTCTTTTTAGTATCTGCATAAACACATGCCTTTAAATATATTTGATGTGTCAACAATAGCACTGCATCTATTATGTTCTTTGATAGTCAAGTAATTTTGTCCATGGCAGTTTCCTTGTGTTGGCTCTCTACCCTTTTTCATAGAATCCAGCTGATCACTAATGGCTTCTGTGACATTGGCTGTGGTGATATATCCTGAGTTCATCTTGTGCATGTTCTGCCTCAGAGCTAGAGTCAGCCACCAGAGGAAAGGAAATGAAATCATCCTGGAGGGTTATTGTGTGGTAGAAATCCAGAAATTAGAAGCTACTGTGGAAATCCAAGTTAATATGTGATAGCTCATATATGAAGTTTAAATATGACTAGTGACATAAAAACTTATTTAATTAAGCTTTGTATTTTAAACGTTAAGTGTTAACTTACCTCTAGTTACCTAAGGTGACTTTCCCTGTTCCTGTAGGATTTGCCAGCCAGCCAGATGATGAACAGGTGAATGTGATGGGCTTCCGCTTCTTGGGAGGCTCCCGAGTTACTCTCCTGGCTTCCAAAACGTCTCGTAAGTGAAATCATGTTGGATGCTTTGAAGTTTTCTATTGAGGATACCTCATCACAGGGCAGTCTCACATCAACAGTTTTTGCAAAGGTAGAAGGCACTCTTTAGGTAGAATCTGAAAACTAAAACCGTTATATTGGATGTAAAACTTATAACTTAGGATTATATTTTGTTAGAGATAGGACACTGTAGTTTGGAGGCAGAGGGCGTTTGAGAAAGGAATGTAAGGAATTAAAAAATATTTTTAACATAAATTATTGTGAAGAAGGTTTTAGGAGCTCCTAGAAATATTTTTTTGAGAGTGTTATTCTTACATCTCACACTGGATATTGGCAGAGTGAAGGTGAAAGTAAGTGACTCATGCTGAGATTAAACTGGCAGGAAAAAGCAGCAATTATGTGGTCAAGTTCGAATTTCTATTTTAAATACACTTTATGAATTAGTGGTTTTTATGAGATAATATTTGAAACAAATATCCAGATTTTTTCACCTCCTCTGAGCACACAACAAAGCCTTGACACAGCCGTCCTGTGATTAGATAAGTAAATATGGAATGGGGCAGCCAGTGTCTTTTAAACATGGAACCAGATAAAGCATAAAAGCTGACACCTGAAGAGTGGCTTCTATGAGCAGCCCCCTGTTCCTTTTGACTTCTGTGACTCAAATTCTTGCCTAGGAAATGCTTTTGATAATGAGGATATAAGTGTTAAAAGAGTGGAGCTTTCTAGGGTTGAAGCTGGTGTTGGTTTTTCCTTCTTCTCTATCAGAGCATTCATTTCTAGGAAGGGATGAAGTAATTTGTACTCACAGTGTTTGATATTTTTCTTTTTCACAAAAAGCACATAGTGTTAATTCTATGAAATGTTGGTTGATAGAAAAATTCTATATATGGAACAAAACCCAGTATTTCTTCCATAATTAGAAGTCAAGTGAGTAATAAGTCATACAGAGTTGTCCTTGGCTCTTAGATGGTATTTTCTGTGGTTTCCATACATTCATTTCCTTTTGAAACCTACTTGATATTGAAGGAAGGCTTCAAGGGTGCTACATGGGAATTTCAGTTCAATTTCCTGATTTGGTATGGACCAATCAAAGCAGACAAGTAAGATGAGGGCAAATAAAGGCAGTAAATTAATCAAGGTAAGAAATGGAATACTCAGAAATATTGTATAATTGATAGGATAATAGCAATCTAAAAATAAGAAAGTATTTAGTTCCAATTTTCAGAATGTTCAAAATATAAAATCAAATAATTTGGGAGTTGCAGAGCCTGTATTGTTGATGAGTCCATTATGAATTTTCTCCTACTGATATTTATGAAGGAGATTCCTTCAGTTATGTCTGCATAATTTATGCTTTGTAATTATACTAATTATGTAATCATAATTGGAGTGGCAAATTTCATAGAGCTTTACACATTAATGATAAAAAGTCTCCTAAACATAACGCTAAGCCCAAATTAGTTCAGTATAAGCTACATTTTGATCTAAGGATAAATTTAGAGTATCCAGTGTTGCAGGATTTTAGTATGTAGCAGTAATGACAAACAAATGTCAAACTGTAATCCAGAACCCATTTATTTATCAGAAATTGTCAACACTGCGATTAAACCTGGATGCTGAGGTTTTACTTTAGAAAAACAACTCTACATTAACATTTTTTGTTTTAAAAGAAAACTACAATATCACATGTGCCCTAATGTGTTAGTTACTTTTCTCTCTTGCTGGGACAAAATACCAGACACCCAAAGTTAAAAGGGAAGGGTTTTATTTGGCTTACAGTTCTTAGAGGTTTCAGTCCATAATCAGATGACTCCAAGGCAGGGATGACAAACAGGCCTGGCAGAGCAGAAACACCATGACACACAGAAGGTAGCAAAGGCAACAAGGGAGAGTTTAACAGCCTCTGTCTGCCCCTTTTACTTTATTCAGACTACCAGGATTAGGGTGGTACCAAACTAATCTCTCACAATGGTTAAGTAATCACCCACCCTTAATCCCAGCATCACACATTCCAGATTCAAATACCCCTGAAAAAAAGTCCCACCTCATCTGCATGAGGCTTGGGGGGATATCTAAACACTCAGATTTGCTACTAATGATATATAGTTTTCAGTAAAGATTAGACAGTTAAATCCATTAATTCCAGGTTGAGGAGTAAGGTGAAGGAGTTGTGGCCTTGTTTTAAAATGAGCACTATTAGAGCATGTTTCAATAGTCATTGATTGACATGGTTGGGCTCAGCAGAAGTGATGATCAGGAAAAGGAAGTAGACTACAAAGTAGTGAAATTCTTGAGGAGGAGGGATGAGATGTATGTCTCTCCCACCGTGTTCTGGTGCTAGACATTGAACCTAGGGCTGTGTGCATGCTAAGCTTCTGCTGTACCACTGAGCCCAAGAAATTCCCCTAGCCCAAAAAGTACACTTTCACAGATGCTCCACAAAAGGAGGGATTGGGTAGTGTCCAGGTGACTATGTATTTGTTGATGGAAGGACAAGGGAACTTTGATGTTTAAATCTGAAAAAAAGGCACAACATTGGTTTCCTGGGAAATAAAAGAACAACTCGAGGAAAACAGGCAGTTTTGAGTTTCTATTTAACATTTAGATCTTGTATTTTGAAATGAAACTAGTTATCCATGTTAGATGATTTTCCTGGCTAGTGATTTGTCTCTTGGTGTCTAAGTAGCTAACACAGATCCTAGATTTTAAAACAGAGAATTTCAAATAACATTTTGTGAGTGATTTTAATAATAGACTATCAAATCTGAGCTGATAAGGAGAGATGTAAAGATTAGAGAAAATTGATATATGCTAAAAATTAATGGAATTTGTGGATCAAAAATTTCATTTGAAAGGTGGAAATGATAAAAAATCTTTTATTTTTTAAACCTGAATGTGCTAGAGAGGGTAAACAAACTGAGGAAGAACAAGTTTAAAAGTCTTGCTTATCTACTTTAATTACTTTGTTGAAGAATTTTAATCATGCATGTGAAGAAGGGTTGAGCTTGAAAAATGGTTCTTTTTGCATTTGCTAAAAGAAAGTATATGTGATCTTGAACTGTGGTCATCAAAATATCTTCAGCTCAAGGAATGTGAGAGTCTTGTTTCACTTCTCCTTAACAGAGCACACCATATTCCTTTGCCACTTCGCAGAGAGATGAGATATTAAGATTGTGGCCTGGTGAGCTCCAGGACTAATAATGGAAGAGACAAACAGGTGACAAGAATCAATCTCAGAAGGTTTGCTGTGCTCATAGAAATGCACTTTCAGTATTATTGGATCCCAGATGAAGGAGAGTTAGTAGGAGGTTAGATTTGTAAAGAATCTGGTAGAAACAGGAGGATTCAGGTAGAGAACATTCCAGGAAGAGAGGGATTTTTAGAGATCAGTGAATGATCATTCCAGTCATTGATTGTCTCTGAAATTCCTTGACTTCATTAAGGGACTGTCACATTGCTCTTACAACATGCTCTTCCAGGCACTGAAGACAATTCATTGATCTCTAAAACTAAGCATTTACTTTCTAGCATGCTGCCCTCCATCAGTCCCTATGGCATCATCATCTATTACCTGGACTAGGTACAGTGTCTGCCCTGTAAGTTCATTCTTACCTCTTTCCAATTCATTTTCTACTTGGCAGCTCTTGTAAAAAAAAAGCAAACTGAGAAAAAAACCACTCCAACAGTAAAGACCTCTGTTTATAATAATACCCAGACTCTTCCGTGTTAGCACTCCCTGTGTGTTATGGCCCTGATGCCTGCCTTGTCTAGGGGTACTCTCTCCCTCACTGGGGCTTCCTTTCTGTTCTTGGTACACTTCTGACTTTTCCCTGAGGTCTTTGTATATGTCATTTCTTCCATATTAAAGTTAAAGCTTTGTGTGCTAAATGACTAGGAATGTAGAGTCTAGATTCCAATGGATAGTTTAGACTGGCTTACAATTATCTGAATGACTTTGCAAAAATTGCTTAACGCTAGCAGGATAACACATTTTTTATCATAAAGTCACAGAAATATGGGTGTGTCAAACCATGTTTTTTTTCTTTAGAATATTTCTGTTGATGAATTGTGAAATTTAATTTTATGAGTTTTATTATATTAAATAATGAGTGCTTAACAGAAAAAATTTACAAAAATAAAGTATTACATTTTTAATATTTATTGAGTGTTTATAAAAAGCTTCAGAATTTTCAACATCAACTGTTTTTGGTATTCAAATTCTAAAAAAGAGCAACAGAAATAAATTCCTCTGTGAACTACCAGTAACATGCAACAAAAAAATAATCTTTACTTCATTTATCACACCTAAGGCAGTCTTCATACATGATAGCAGCTTGTTCCATACACATGTATTGCTTACACTGACAGCGCATGTGTTTTGGTTTCCTGGCCTTTTTGTAGGGCATACTTGACATCTTGCTGGTTTTCCTGTTTTGTCAGGAGGTTCTTATTATACAATGTGTAGTTAACAGGCACATGAAATATCAATAAAATAAAGTATAAATTATTAATATGTATTGCACATTTAGAATAAACATCAACATTTTTACATCAGATGTCTACCTACTTACAAAACTAAAAAATATCAGAAATGAATACCTATATGAACTACAATGAGAATAACAAAAGCAGGGCTGGGGATTTAGCTCAATGGTTCCACTGCCTGTCTTGCAAGTGCAGGGACCCGAGTTTGATCCTCAGTACCAAAAAAAGAAAGAAAGAAAGAAACAAAAAGAATGGCCCCCAAAAACACTCTACAAAAAATAAATAAATAAATAATCTAAGGGAAAGTGGGAAGGGTAGGGGAAAGGAAAGAAGGGAAAAGAAAAAATATGAGAAAAGGACAAAATGGAAACAAAGTCTTTGTAAATAGGGAAGGGTGGAAGGAGTAAAGGGAGGGTAGGGGAAAGGGGAAAAAATAAGAACCAAGATACATCATGTAAAGCTACAAGATCCCAATGATAAATGTAACTGTATTGTATCCCTAAAATGTACCAATAA